GGTTAGAGCAGGGGCAGGCTTAATCTCCCGGCCTCCGTATCCTTATCTGTGAATTGCGAGAACTAGACATGATCTCTAGATTCCACTGTCTCTGATACTCAAACTTGTATCTCCCTTATTTCCTGTATCGGAAGAGAAGGAGAAGAAGGGGGTCCCCCTCCTACTGTAGAACTTTAGACCGAAGGCAGTTAAGCCAAGCACAAGGTGGTGTTTAAAATAAAACTTCAAGTGTGAATGTACTTTCTGCTCTTAGAAGCAAGTTTCTGATTCAAAGACTCCATCAAGTGAGGAAATTGTATTGCCTTTAGCCTCAAAGCGCTGTCTTATTTTCAGCTGAATTGCCTTAAGGACTACATTACGGGGGGGGTGGGGGGGGGGAGGACTTGGAACTTGGCTTACTTTCTGTGACTGAGAAAACAACAAAAACTCATCATCCTGTCCCTTATTATAGCCCAATCTTCTGGGAGGAAACTTTAATAGCTCCTCGGTTGTGGTCTTTCCATATCTCTCCACTGCTGACTTTTTATTTTGTTCAGACTCTCAGGGGCCATTATGAAGGACTGAGAAAGAGACACAGTGTAATGGGTCTTTAAAAAGATGCATTTGAAGATTTCTTTTTGCTAAAGGAGGATAAAAATTTCTAGGGATTTTATGATTTTTCCAGAAAGCAAGAGTATTTGTATGAACTCTCAGAAAGAAGAAAGCACATTACTCAGCACCACATACACAATAAAGAAAAAGACAAAAGAAGAGGAAAATTTCAGGCTTTCTGCCAAAGAGAAACCACTAGCCTTTTGGTATATTCATTAATTCCATATATCCTGATGAAATTCAAACTAACAATAACTATTCTGAATCTTCGCTGGTGAAAGTTGGTCCTACCAATAAGCTTCGTCCTGAGCATGAAACCTCATGTAGGAAACACGCTTTAGCGGGACATTATCCATGAGCCATCCATACCAGAACTGATGCTTCTCAAATCTTTCCTCACCGGATCTCTCTCCTACAGATCACAAGTTGGGCCTGACTCTTGGACATGTCTCAAAATGACCTCACAATGTTTCCCTCTCCTCAAAAAATATTTGCTGAATAAAGACTTGAACTTTTTGACCTGCCTTATCCAAATTGTTTGGCCAAGGTAGAGCAGATTCAGAGATAAATCTAGAAATTTCTCTCTTGTTATATTAGAATATTCTTAAATTGGAGTGGCCCAGGGAGTTGGGTCATTCAAGAACAAGAGTTGAACCTACTTTCCCCAAAGACGTGTTTGGCAAAGTCTTTGGCCTTGGGTTTCCTTATGCTCTCTTGGGGAGAATCACTAGACTAAATTCAAGAATTTAATCAGAGGATATTTGGCTAGCCTGGATCAGAATCAACCAGCTAACAAGAGATAGACTGAGAGAAGACTTTGAGAGAAGCAGTATAACACAGTGGCTATAAGAAGTTTGAAATCAGACAGATACAGGTTTGAATCCTAACCGCAGCATTTACTACTTGTGGGCTGATTTACTCATTGATTTGACAACAATCTTTTTCATGGTCTACAATGCCAGAGACTGTTCTAGATTCTGGGAATAATGAGATCTAATATTAGTGATGCACTTTGCACATGCCTACATCTATATCCTGCATGCCCTCGACACGTGGTAGATGTTACTGTTACAATCCCATCCCAGTTCTGACATCTAAAATTCAGACACTGACACCCTAAGGGACCAAAAATATGTCAATACGGTAGTTGCATGAAAGAGTTTTTAAGGAATTATTCCATTCACCACCCAAGTTCCATCAAAATTACAAAACATGCGAAAGTCTTGGCCTATCTCTCTTACTTCCTCTTTGTTCCCTTCTAGGACTGTGCTCTGCCCTTTATCCAACATCCTACATCGCACCTACCTGAGTGTCCTCATTATCCAAAAGCTCAAATTACATCAGACTCCCTAGAACCTAAACTCAAATTCACCAAGTCCTTCTCAAACAATTGGCACAAATGGATGCTTGCGAATGGTCCATCAATCCTGTATGTCCTCCAACCTCCCAACCCCCGCCCGGATGTTCAAGAATGGTCTCCTGGGGCTAACCTGGATTGAGTGGATCCTAAAGGGCAAGTCTGGCAGGGAGAGGGTCTTTTCCCTAGAGATTTGATTTTGCCAAAATGGACAATAGGGAGAGTGGAGTCAGATGGAAGGAAAGGGAGTTATTTTTTTTTTTTAAGATTTTATTTATCCGACAGTGAGAGAGGGAACACAGGCGGGGAAGTTGGGGAGGGAGAAGCAGGCTTCCCGCAGAGTGGGGAGCCCGATGCGGGGCTCGATCCCAGGACCCTGGGACCATGACCTGAGCCGAAGGCAGACGCTTAATGACTGAGCCACCCAGGCGCCCCTGGAAGGGAGTTCCAAAGCATTGCCCAAACAAGGGCAAGGGACTGAGACAGATTGCTAAGAGATGGAGTAACAGTCCAGGGTGTGGGGAGAGCCATGGACTTGAGACGAGAACCTGGTGGACTGTGTGAACGGGAGGGGACCTCCAGGAACGCCCGAGATAGGGCTACCGCCGCCCAGGTGCGTTCTGGGCTGTGACGTGAAGGTAATCTGCCGAAACAACATCTACATCCTAAAGGAAGAGTTGATCCATCTCAATGGCTCTCCAGTTAGTGGAGTATTGGGGGCATACATTTTTGAGCAGATGGACTTCCAGTATTCCTCGCCTTCTGAAGTTTTAGGAGGACACATATCCTTCCCCTCTCTACCCTTCTTCCCACATACACGCAAAGACTGATGGTCAAGAGTTTAAATAAACAGTATTGAGACAGTACTGTCTTTAGGAAGAATGATTTGCATGAAAGAGAAAGATATGCAAGATCCAGTGTCACGGTCTTAACAAAAAAGAAGTTGCATACCCGTTCATGTAGTTTAAAAAAATAATACTCCTGTGAAAATGCATACAAAACTCTGAAAGGATCCACAAGAATGCGTCAACACCAGTTGTCTGTAGGGTTAGGGGAAAGCGTTACATTTATAAAAAAAACAAGCTAATTGAAATACCCTGATGGCTTGTTAAAAAGCTGTATCTGCACACCACCCACCTGTCCTTATTCACTTCCCTGAGGGACTCCGAACCTCCGGCAACGCAAGAAAACTGTAAACATCATCAATAGAAAACGAGGGTGTGGGTTGGTGCACGAACAAATGAAAAAGCCAAGGTTTCCTGTTGTCTTAAGTCTGTTCTCAACGAGACGTAACAATAATTGGAATGGATTTTTATCTCTTGCAATTTTACCCACACCACTTCCGCGTTCTGTGAAAAAGACCTAGGTGTCTTAACTGACGGCAAGTTCAATAGAAACCAGCTGTGGGCGGACAAAACGTCAAATGCAAAGTTAAGTGGGACTAATGGATGTGATGTTCAGTGCTTGGTGACGTATTGTTCTCTGAGCTGGTGAGAGCACCGTTGGAGCAATAAAAGCTATCATTTATTAGAAATGTAACATGTACTCATTGTAAAAAACCAAATAGTACAAAACTATGAGAAATAAATAGTTGAAGTGCCCGCAACTTTCCACCCCCCTTCCTGTTCCCTGTGGTTCGCTGATAGAAACGATTTGGAGCGTTTTCTTCTAAACGCAAAACATTTTATAGACATAGGTAATTTTCTTCCACAAAAGAAGTCACTTTTGAAAATTGCTTTTTGTTTCTAAATCACAGACATCAAAATTTAGAGGTGTTCCGTAAGTTTCTTCATCAGCCGCCTACATGGGGACACTTGTTCATGTCTTTAGGGTGGATACACAAAAACACAATTTCTGGGTCAAAGGGTACATTTACAATTTTTTAAATTCTTTTTTTTTATTTAGATTTTATTTATCCATTTGGGACAGAGAGAGAGAGAGAATGAGCAGGGGGAGAGACAGAGGGAGAGGGAGAAGCAGGTTCCCTGCTGAGCCAGGAACCCTATGCGGGGCTCAATCCCAGGACCCCGGGATCATTACCCGAGCTGAAGGCAGATGCTTAACCATCTGAGCCACCCAGGTGCCCTACAATTTTTGATAAGTAGTAACAAATCCTTTCCAAAAAGGTGGCATGGAATTCACACTTTAGAAACCTATACCCCCCCCCCCACACACACACACATACAGGCAGGAGTGTGTTCAGAAAAAAAATTAAGAACATAATACGACATAGCTGTTGAATGCATGGGTTTTATAATAATCCACTTCATGTTTGAGCTGTATGACCCTGGACGTGTTATACAACCTCTTCAAATCTCACTCTCTTCTTTCATAAAATGGGAATCATAGCTCCTCCCTCCTGGGTAGATGTGCAGATTTAAATGAGATGGTTTATGTAACAAGATTGTGCAGAGTTTATCATATAAAGAGGCCTTGATAGATACTACTAATCTGGAAAACAAGTATCATGAGATAATAGAAACAAACTTTCTGTGTATTGCTGATTGTCTTAAAAGATTTGAAAGTTGATCGTGTAGAATCAGATAAGACATCTTCTCTGGAGTTCCAGAAGCCAGATGGGGCTACTGATGGATAGAGGCTATGTCACTTTTTCTAAAAATAAGATGAGTTCAGGGGCTCATAGATTATTTAGTTTGGTGGGCCTTATTTAAGAAAAAAGAACACAGTATTATGAACCTGAAATTTGGTACAAAGTCTTCGGAAGGGTCATACATGCAAAGGTCTCTGAAATGTAAGATTCCGTGAATCTACCTCCAAACGAGTCACTTTTGAGGTAGTACATCCTCTGGGACTAGAAAATTATCTTCCGGGTCATCCCAGCCATCCCACAGGTCTGGAAATAATGCAAGTAAGCAAGTTAAAAAACTTTTTTTTTTTTAATGGTGTTCTTCAGTTGACTCCTATAGGGTGGAAGTTGGACTAGCTAACATCTAATAGATCTGAAATTCCTCAGTTTCCTTGAATCTAAAAGTTATTAACGTATATCAAAATGACCTAAATATACATACTCAAAAAAAGAAAGAACAAGTAATTCACAGTGTTGGTTATTATCTTTTTTTTTTAGGCAAAAACTCTCATGTGTCAGTACTTTTAATGTTGTGTACATCAAATTATAGTAAAAAGATGACTATAAACAACATGCAGCCCCTCTATTTTCATGAACAGCACAACAGATTACAGTAAACCGAGTTTATATTCCACCATCAAGTGTAGTTCTCCCATTAGTTCACTTTGTGACGGGTCATTAAGAATATCTTCAAATCCAATAGTCTCATCATTACCCCTCAAAATATCCAGTGAAAGGTTTGAGCTTGGAAGAAATGGAAGACCCTGTACCTGCTGCACTGCCTTGAACTCCATTTGTAATTTTAGTGGAGCAAACAGACCCTGGATGTTTCTTAGTGTGGAAAAATTCATTTTATCTTGGTTGAGCTGGAAATTTTTTTCTGATAATTCAAGAGGATGACTGGGCAAAAGTTCATTTTTCGCACAAGGAAGGCCTTTTCGAAGAAGATCATGACTTTCAAAAGGTCCACTTGCTGAAAGTTCAGTAACTGGAATGCTGTCCTTTAACTGAGATCCAAGTCCTCTGGCATTCATCTTCACTTGCTCTGTGAACAGCCTCTCAGCCCCGTTACTATCAGCCGGCCCCTAGTGTTGGTTATTATCTTATATAATCAATATAAAATCAATTTCAGGGGCACCTGGGTGGCTCATTGAGGCCCAGTTAGAGGGCATGGCATCAGTTGAGCATCCGACTCTTGGTTTTGGCTCAGGTCATGATCTCTGAGTCCTGGGATTGAGAGCCATGTTGGGCTCCATGCTCAGTGAGGAGTCTTCTTGGGATTCTCTCTCTCCCTCTGCCCCTCTGGCTCCTGCTCTCTCTCTCTCTCTGTAAAAAAAAAAATACATAAATCTTTAAAAACAAATCAATTTAAGTTTCTTTGAGGAGCAAGGATTGTGGGATTACAAGTGCAGTGGGAAATTGGAAAGGCAACTGGGAGGGCCCAAGAAAAGATGATAGGAGGGCTTGAATATTAATACAGTGGAAGGAGGAAGCCAGCAGGGAAGCAAACAGCCAAGGTTTGAATATCCTTGGCAGGTTATTTGGATTCTTACGCACGTCAAGGACATTTTGGAGATTTGGAGAGAGACTGTGACTCTTGAGCCATGGGATTTCTCATTAGCTTGAGATGAGAGAATGGCTGGGTGAGGGTTCAGGCAGTTGACCTCAAAGAAGGCCTGATGAGGAGCCGGTGAGAATGGAGCCATGCCCTGTAACTGGGGCTCTGTCACTGGTTAGTTGATCTTAAACAGGTCCCCAAATCAACTAGTAGTAGTTAACAACAGTCCTGGGTTCAACTTCTGGTTTTACCAACTATTTGTCATACCATCTTCGGCAAATCACTCAATTTCTCTAAGCCACAGCTTAGAGAATGTGTGAATGGGGATGATTATACTTACTTCAGACATAAGGTTTTTGTGAGATTTAAATTAGGTAGCCCTCAAAACATTCTCCGTAGTTCCTGGCACAAAGCAATTAGAAGTGTTGACTCTATTTTTTAGTTTTTTTAAAAATTATGAACACCTACCAGGTACTTTTTTTCTTTTTTTTGGGTATCAGGTGTAATTGGTAGTCCAAACTGTGTAAGACTTCTAGGAGTATATAATCCATTAAAATTATATATAATTATTTATGATTCAAGGTAGTTTTTGTTGGTTATGTATCTAACGGTTATTTAGAATGCAGAGGTGAGTCATTTTGGGCTGCAATTAGCAAGAGTTGTTTTAGAGGAAAAGGCATTTTATTTTATTCTATTTTATTTTATTTCATTTCTTAAAAGATTTTATTAATTTGAGAGAGAGAGGGTATGAGCAGGGGGAGAGGCAAAGGGAGAAGCAGACTCCCTGCTGAGTGGGGAGCCCGACAACAGGGCTCGATCCCAGGACCCTGAGATCATGACCCGAATCAAAGTCAGATGTTTGACCCAGCCACCCAGGGGCCCCTAGAGGAAAAGGCATATTAGATGGGCCTCCAAATACAGGCAGAATTTTAAAATCAAAACTTGTGAGATATTGAAAGAACTACCATCAGCAGATGCCAAACCAGGACAGACTGTTGAGGGAACAGAGAAATACGCAGTTAATTTTTAAAACAGCTTTATTGAGCTATAATTGGCATTAGATAAACTATGCATAGTTAAAATGTACAATTTGATAAGTTTTGATATATAGGTACATCCATGACACTACCATTGCAGTCTAGGTGATGAACATGTTGAACACCCATAAAGTCTTTTATGCCCCTTGGTAAATTTCCTTCCCACCCCAGCTTGCATTTTCCTGGAAGTTCATATAAATGGGCAAAGCCTCTTTTTTTTTTTAAAGATTTTATTTATTTGAGAGAGAGAGAATGAGAGACAGAGAGCATGAGAGGGAGGAGGGTCAGAGGGAGAAGCAGACTCCCTGCTGAGCAGGGAGCCTGATGTGGGACTCGATCCCGGGACTCCAGGATCATGACCTGAGCCGAAGGCAGTGGCTTAACCAACTGAGCCACCCAGGCGCCTGGGCAAAGCCTCTTTTATAGGCTCTTTTATGTCTCCTTTTTTACATTCAGCATAATTATTTTGAGAGATTTCTTTTTGTTGCTGAATAGTATTCTATTTATGAATTTACCACAATTGTTTATCCATTCTCCTATGGATGCATATTGGAGCTATTTCCAGTTTGGAGCTACTGCTATGAACATTTGTGTCCAAATGTTGGTATGGACACATGTTTTCTTTTCTCTTGAATAAACCCACCTTGAGTGGAATGGCTGAGTCATATGTAGGCATATGGTTAACGTTTTAAGAAACTGCCAAACTGTTTTCCAAAGTGGTTGTAACATTTGATATTCCCACCGACAGTGCGTGAGAATTCGAATTTCTCTATGTCCCTGCCAACACTTGACATGTTCAGACTTCTTAATTTTAGATAATTTCATAGGTGGGTAGTGGTATCGCATCATGGTTTTAATTTGCATCTTTCTAATGACCACTGGTGTTGGGCATCCTTCCATGCCCTTAGTTGCCATTAGTCTATCCTATTTGATGAATTATTTGCTCAAGGCCTATGTCCATCTTTCCGTGGAATTGCTCATTTTCTTTCTGTTGCATAGAGTTTTTAATATACTTTTGGATATAAGTTTGTGGTTGGATATGTGATTTGCAAATGCTCTTACTATTTTTCCACACTACTGAGTTCAATTTGCTAATATTTTGTTGAGGAGTTTTGCATCTGTGTTAATTAGGGAAATTGGTCTGTAATTTTATTTCTTTTTCTTTTTTTGTTTTGTTTTGCCTGGATTTGGTACTAAGGTAATGCTGGCTTCATAAGATGAACTGAGAAATGTTCCTTCCTCTTCTATTTTCTGGAAGAGATTGTGTAGGATTGGAGTTATTTCTTTTTTAAATTTTGTTAGAATTTTCCAATAAAGCCAGGTGGGCCCGGAGATTTCTGAGTACAATTTATTTTTCACATCGATCTTGTATCCTGTGACACTGATTAATTCAGTTATCAGTCTAGTAACGTTTTTGAAAAACCCACTGAATTTTCTACATAGAGGATCAATGGGAATAAACAGTTTGTTTTACTTCTTCTTTTCCAATCTGGATGACTATGTTGTTTCTTGACTGATTGCCCTGGCTAGACTTACCAGTGCAATGTTAAATAGATGGTGTGATAGCAGGCATAACTGTTTTGTTATTGATTTGTTTTTGATTCAATTTTTTAACAGTAAATATGATGTTACCTATGGTTGTTTTGCTTTTTTGTTTTTGGGTTTAGATGCCCTTTATTAGGTTCAGGAGGTTCCTTTATAATTCATTTTGCTAAGAGTTTTATCGGTAATGGATGTTGGACTATGTCAAATGCTTTTTCATATCTATTGAGGTTTCTCTTTTTGAGGCTGTTAAGATGGTGAATTAAATCAATCAATTTTTGAATTAAAAATAGAAATACCAGGGATGCCTGCGTGGCTCAGTCAGTTAAGCATCTGCCTTTAGCTCAGGTCATGATCTCAGGGTCCTGGGATTGAGTCCTGTCAGCCTCCCTCCTCAGCGGGGAGTCTGCTTCTCCCTCTCTCTCTGCCCCTCTCCACCATTCATGTGCTCTCTCTCTCTCAAGTAAATAAATAGAATATTAAAAAGAAATACCATACAAGCCAGCAATTCCACTTCTGGGTAATTAAGAAAATGAAAACACTGATTTGAAAAGACACATGCACCCCTGTGTTCCCTGCAGCATCATTTACAATAGTCAAGATATGGAAGCACCCTAAGTGTCCGTTGATAGATAAATGGATAAATGGATAAAGATGTGAGATATATATATATCTCAAATATATATATATATTTGTTGTATACATATAATGGGTATATATATATATATGTATATATATAATGGAATATTACATAACCATAAAAGGGATGCAATCTTGACATTCATGACAACACGGATGGACCTAGTGGGTATTAGCCTAAGTGAAATAAGTCAGAGAAAAACAAATACCGTATGATTTTACTTACATGTGGACTCTAAAATCAAAACAAAATAGAGACAAGAGTCATAAATATAGAAAACAAACTGGAGGTTGCCAGGACAGAAGGGGGTGGGGTGAAATAGGAGTAAGAAGAACAAACTTCAGTTTTCTTTTTTTTTAATGTCTTCTATTTTATTATTTATTTATTTATTTATTTTAAAGATTTATCTATTTATTTGAGAGAGAGAGAGCAAGTGGGAGAAGGGACAGAGGGAGAGGAAGGGGGGATAATTCCAAGCAGACGCCTCACTGAACACAGAGCCCGATGTGGGGCTTGATCTCACTACCCTATGATTATGACCTGAGCTGAAACCAAGAGTTGGACGCTCAACTGACTGAGCCACTCAGGCGCCCCAATTTTTTTTAAAGTAGACTCCATGCCAACGTGGGGCCTGAAATCGTGACCGCGATTAAGGATTGCATGCTCCACTGCCTGAGCTAGCCAGGTGCTCCCAAACTTCAGTTTTCAAATAAATACGTCAAAGAATATAAAGGATAGTACCAGGAATATAGTCAATAATATTGCAATGACTTTGTATGTTGACGCATGGTCAACTACACTTACCGTGGTGATCATTTCAAAATGTATATAAATGTTGAATCACAATGTTGTACATGTGAAACTAATATAATATAGTATGTCGACGATACTTCATTTAAAAAAATAAATAAAAATTGATCAATTTTTGAATATTTAAGCCAATCCTGAATTTCCTGGAATAAATTCTATTTGATCATCATGGATCCAGTTTGGTAAATTTTTTTGAGAATTTTTGCATTTATTTTCATGAGAGATATTGATCTGTAGCTTTCTTGTAACATTTTTGGCTGTCTTTGGTATCAGACTAACACTGGTCTTTAGCACAAGTTAGAAAGCAGTCCTTTCTTTTCAATTTCCTGGTTGTGTATAACTGGTATTCTTTCTTAAGTGTTTGATAAAATTTACCACGGAAGGCAAGTCGGCCATAAGAGATTTTATGTGTGTTGGGGGTGGGGTGGAGTGGGAGAAGTTTTTAACTACCAATTGAGTTTCTTTAATAGATATAGGGCTATTCAGAATTTT